AAGAAGTAGTTATATTCTGGGTTTGTCTTAGCTTTTAAAGCTGTTTTAATACATTTTTCTACTGTTTATAACAAGCTGAGTTGAAGGGCTTATAAAAAAAAGAAAATGTAACAGTGTTAGAATTACAAGTAAGACAAGGGGAACCCGAGGTACAGACAAGAACACAGAAAAAATTTAAGAGAGTACAGATGTCATGACATTTATTAAAAGGCATGCTACAATGTTGTATGTGTTAGGAAAAGATTTAGAGATATCAAGTAATAGTAGTAAGCAAATACAAACTGAAGAAAAACTGAGTATATTATAGTGTACAGAAGCTTGAATTAACCATGCACTACGCATTTAGAAAATATGTTTTAATATTTTATCTTCTCTCTGCATTTATAACATAATTCACTTCAACAATGACAGAATCCTTTTCTTCCAAAGCCACAAACTGTATTACAAATGAAAGCTGGTACTGCTGCTTATCAAAATATACAAGACAATTGATGTTTCATATAAAACCACTTTACATGTTAACTTGTTCCCAAAAACCATTTTTCTTTTTTTGGCCTGGTTTTAAAAAAACGTTGTTATAAATATTTACAGCATTTTCTTCTGTTAGATGAACATTCTTACAAACAGAAAAAGGGATTTTAATGAACAGACCACGTAAAACACAAGACAATGTCAGAGACTTCTAGCTGTGCTATATTTTTTCCTTTAAATACAGTACTGAAAATGTCCTTCAAACCCTTGTTCATCCTCGTCCATTCTGTTCACCTTTAAACTCCCATTTTCTCTAAGTAGTCTATTCACCTATAAGAAATAGAAAATAAAGGCCGCTCTGCACTGGGTCTTTTAGAAAGGAGCTTGGGGGAAAATGCTTCACAAGGAAAGAGTTAAAACCAGAACAGTCAGTCTTTGGTCAGAGCAATGAGGTGACATTTTGATGCAAACTTTGCTTGGTCAGCAATCTTTATAATTAGTACTTTCTGGATAAGGGATGAATTTTTAGAAGATACAGGTAATAATGAATGGTAATAGGAAAAAAAAAGGCCAGAGTATGACTTAACTTTTTTAACAACACCAAAAATATTTAAATATTTGTTCATACAACTACAACATAGATCCCAGAACTGAAAATAGCAACACAAAAATTTATTGACATTGTTAAAATAAGCTTGCCATAAGCAGCTTTCAATCTTGACTATTATCACCAAGGTCACTGGACCAGAGAAATATCCCTGTTTTCTGGAACACATGCCTCAGGTTGCAAAAGCTAGAGTGACTACTACCACAAATAGTTAAGAGCAGCTCTGTTCTTCAACCAGCACAATTCTCTATACTGAGTATTATGTGATAAAGGCCAAAGTGTAACTGAGATTGCATTCATACAGTTACAATTATTTGCTTCTATGATGAGTCTGTGGGACAACATTCTTTTAAAAACTATACGTATTTCCTGAAAACCAGAATACTGACACTACTCTCAAACAGGAAGAAAAAGTCAATTAAGACTACTGAAGAAGGCACATAAACTTTGGTCCTGTTATGTTTTTATCCCTTTATAAAAACCCCCAAATGAAGTTTAGTAGTTTTTTTAAAAAAAAATTTAAGCCATTTACAAGTAGCTGTAAAGATTTGCTCTGAAAAAAGACTGCAAATAGTCTTACAGATACCAAAACAACTCTTCAAAGACAGCTAAGCTACACCTTAAAATTGTGTACAGTCTAAAATTGTTTTAGCACAATAGTAGAATATCAGAAGTCTGGCAGTTTTATTCTCATTTACAACTGATCAAAGACAAAGGAAAGGCTAAAGAAAGACACTTTTTACAGAGTCATGCTCTTTTTGGTTTTAAAAATAGCAGTACACATTAGATTTTCTAAGAGATAGGCTAAAAATTTGGCAAACTTAGGGTTTTAAGTGATTCATTAGAGCAAAAATGTTACTTTGTATCATTATTTCCCAAAATATTTAATGGGAACAGAAGGGAAAAGGCATGGTAGGAAATATACTCATATATGAACATTGTCTGATGGCATGGAGACTTGAGACATATCTATCAGATTGATCAGAGTCAGAGTACTACTAGCCAATTTTCTTCCTTTCTGAAACAAGTCATGCTCTGTAGTGAGGCTAGCTACTTGCTGTGTAGCCCAGGCTGGGCTTAAACTCAAGCTTACAGCCCCCCGCCTCCCCAGTGCTGAATTACATACAGGAGTATGCCACTGTGTCCAGCTCATGAGAGCTAATTCTTAAACTGAAATAGTGACGAAGCCTCTGAAGGCTGTACTCCATAAAAAATTAAGCAAGCAAAAACAGTGGCTCTAACATCTGAGTGCAAACATTACTAGAAATAACTGATTACAATATTTAGACCTAGGACTATGACATTCTATAGGAGCTACTGAGCAATTATGAAACTTTCCAGTAAGTTACTGAATAAGATAATTGTTTTTCTAAATTTATCTTACATAAAACACATTCTACTACTAGGTAAATTATTCAAATCTCAAAGTAAAGCATTTTGGCATAAATTGCTATTTGTTAAATGTATACTGCTATTTTTTAAGTCCTGAATATATATACTTTCTGTAAAAGTCAAGATAACCTTGAAAAGTGATATGACAATGCTCCTTAAAATAAAGTAAATAAACTTAAAAATAGGATACTACCACAGATCAAGAGCAATAGACCACTGCTTAGAAGGTACTGAATAAATGCATGCCAAAACAAAACTACACAGATTAAATTTTTTCCACCACCCTGATATTTAAAAAATCTTTTTACAAAACTACACCAACACAAATACTGTAGACCTCTATAATTCAAACAGTGAAGAGCTCAATATGGACCATATCCATATGCTACAGCTAATTTTAGACACAATCTGATGGCTTCAAACATGCTCTTTAAAACCCCCATTTTTCTATCTGAATTTGGTTAATTTTCTTTGTCAATAAATTAACATGTATGTAATGTGCATATGTACATACATTAGAAGAGTGTATGTATATACACTTATTTATACACACACGTGCACACACACATATCTACATAAATCCCTGAAAAGGATTCCAATGTTCTCTCCCAGATTTAAAGGCCATTCCCTAATTCAAAATTACATTCAACACCAGTATCATCCTCTTCTATCAGTAACTTTTGCTACACTTATGCTGGATGTTATGTGAATTATGAATTAATAAATAGTAATTGCCAACTCAAATCAAATGAAGCAATTCAATTTAACATGACACTGACAAATCAAAATAGTATCCATCTGTGTGGGGGAAGTAAATCTGGGGAGATTAAAAAACATTTTTTTTTTTTTACTACACCCCTACTCAGTATTCAGTTAAAAAGAAATTACACATACACGTTGGGGGAAAAACCTAAACAGATAAATTATTATACCCGTCTATTCAGCCAATGCTAAATTGATACATCTGAAAGATTTCAACTCAAGTATCTTCCTTCCTATTCTAGCTCCTGACCAGTCTTAGGTAAACTGATTTTTTCAAAAAAACAACCTATAATTATCTCTGTATACCTGTTTTTCTATAATTTTTTTAAAAAAGCAAAACAAACCACAGAAACAAAAACAACCCCTTTTTATGTTCAAATTAATGACTGGAACTGAGTAAAAAAGAATGAGATTCTTCTTTTAAAAATTGAGATGAGTTACTCTTTGAATGTGAAGTGTGAAAGGGGTGAAACAAAACTGATCCTTTTGACAATTTATACTTTAAATCTGATCAAGCATTGAAGGAACAGTTCCTTGCTAAAAAGAAACCATTTTATATTATACAATCACTGAAGCAAAACAGTAAAATGTACTCTTAACATTCAATGAAAACGAGAGTACAATAAACAACCTACCTTCTCAGACACCAAATATGTGGGCACTCAGCAACAAAGTTACATTAACAAAGCAAAGCAAGATCTAGCTTGAGTACGGAGAAGGATTCAGTAATCCTGAAGCAAATTCTATGGACAATAAAGATTCGACAACATCCAGAAACTGAGATTGCAGTTCTATAGTCCCAAGTCTGTGTATGGTAACTACAACAACCACAATAAAAAGTCTCCAAGTATGTACTGTTATTCCAAAACCATTTGTCTTATTCACCCCATCTCTGCACCAAAGCACCAAAAATTGGAATAGAAACATTACTTATTGAAAACCATTTTAAACTGCAATGAAAAAACTTTAAAATTCTTACCAAAACAGGGAAAGAAAAAAAACACTTATCAAGCCCACAGTATCTTTCAAGATATTTAAACTCTAACCTATTGTATTTTAAGCACATAATAAGGCACATAAGAAATTAAGTAAATACACAGTAATTTTGATAAAGTATTAAGAGATTATAGTGGTACAAAAAACCCTTGAGATTAAATTCTTTTTAAAAGAAGACCTTACCAAAAATAACTTTTAAAAAATCTGTCAAACCATATGATAGACCTGAATATTTTCCTTAAGACTGTAAACGTTTTTCTGAAAACTATAAAAAAGTAGTTTATAAGTAGGATTATTTTCCAAGATTATATTCTATTACCTGACAAGTGTCATTTTGAAATTTAAAACCTGATTTTTCTAATAAAATTACTAATTATTGACATCTTAATAGATTCTGGTTGGATTCCACTTAATATCCCTGGGGACAGTAAGATTTTATTTTTCCAAAGTCTTAAAAAGGTAAGGTATATAGCCGGTTACGAGTAGCTCATGCCTGTAATCCTGACTACTCAGAAAGGTGAGATCTGAGGATCAAGGTTTGAAGCCAACCTCAGAAGGAAAATCTGTGAGACTCTGATTTCCAATTAACCACCAAAAAACCGGAAGTGGAGATGTGGCTCAAGTGGTGAACTACTAGCCTTGAGTAAAAAAGCTCAGGGACAGTGCCTAGGCCTTGAGCTTTGAGTTTAAGCCCAGGTTGGGCACATATTTTTTAAAAAAGTAAGATATGCATTATTCAAAGGAGTGTCATACAGTGAACAAAAGAAACAGATGAAGAAAACATGCACATTTATAAATCGGCTTCCAATACAACTCAATGTGTTTATGTATATTAACTATCAATATAGATGGTAAATATTTAATATAATTTTCCAAGCAAACAATCTCCTACAGGGGTCAAAATTCTAAACCATAAAGTTAAAAACTTGGCTGTAAGTGGTTTAAATTACTTACATCAAGTAATTTTAAAAGTCTGCAATTGTCTAAATTTCTTAAAGTACAAAGGAGTTTATAAATGTTGTATAAGGCTGATCTAGACCCAAACTAAAAGAAAGTCTGCTCTCATGAAATCTGATTTATCACAAGAAATTACTGAAGAAGTATTTTTCCTGATTTTTTTTCCTTCCTGAAGGTTATTTTCATAGAAATCATGGTACAAAGGAAAAGCAAACCTTTGATTATTTATGGGAGCAAAGGGAAAAATGGGAAAAAAAAAAAAAGAACATCTCTTGTTTGAATGTACTTGAATATCAAACTCTGAAGGAGTTATTTTTTGTTAAAGAGGCAGGATTGGTCTTGAGCTGCTTCAGTCTATGTCTGAAGGTTCTATTGTACTTATGGTCCAGTTTGAGGAGAAAGATTCACAGAGATGTCAGATTGTAGATTTTGAGAAGGAAACTCGGAGGTGGTGATTTTCTCCAAGATCGTGATTATGAAGCTCAATGAGGGCCTGGATTGCTTCTTCTACAGATCCCAACTGAATGAGTGCCATTTTGCGATCTTTCCTGAAAATGATATAAGAAATATAAGAATATTTAAAATCAATTTTGTTTTCAACTTTCTCTGCCCTGAAGACATCACTGAACTAAGAGGGGTTACAATTACATGGGCAAGATAACAAGTACATTTCGTATCAAGCATTGTTGCCTCCTCTGTTTCCCCTTCCCATACCACCCCCCAACCTGATTCCCCCCCCCTCCGTCCCAGAGACTCTTATCTCCAATAAACCACCAGGACACTGGAAGTAGCGATACGGCTCAAGCAGTAGAGTGCTCACCCTGAGCTGAAGAGCGCAGGGACAGTGCCCAAGCCCAGAGTTCAAGCCCCACGACTGATTAAAAAAAAAAATTGTATAGCATGTTAAATAATGTTAATGTATTGAAAGGACTTACTGGAAGAATTTAAAAGCCTTCACCAAACATCCAGCTTCTGTGAAAAGGTTCTTCAAATCATCCATTGTAACAGAAGGGCTGTGAAAACATCAAAGAGCATCAGCTATATTAGCTTGGATACTCAGCTGAAGCATAGATTAATTTTGGTAATCATCAAATCTATAGCATTTTCTAGTTCAAACAAAATTATTTAGCAAAAGACATGTTTTGAGTGTGTTGAGGAGTATGTTCGAGACTGACATGTCTTCAAACAATGAAATTCTGTCTTTGATGAAGACGATGGCAAGTCTTTGACATTATCTTTATTGACATTTTGGTTTTATAAAAGGCTAAAAAGAACAACAACCAAAACCACTTTCTGTATGTATTCTTTCAAGGTCATTATTATTGTTATTGGCTTTAGTAATTCACTAACTCTAGTACTTCCAAAGTTACTTAACTGGCTCTAAATTGTAGGCTATCGTCCAGAATTCTACATTTATGGATTTCAGGGTAATACTGAATGTAGATATTGACAGCTAGGCTCTAAATGATAATCATAACCTTTGAATACTCTCCTCTTGTACTGAAAAGAGATTTTTCTCTATAATCCGTAAGGTATATTAGAAATGACTTATGTCCCATCAGACATGAGAACACTAATGCCCACATCTTTGGATTCCTGATTCACAGCATGAGATAATGAATATTTATTACTGTGTTAAGCTGTTAAGTTTTGGGGTGATATACTATACAGTAGATAATTGACACAGTAGTCTATCACATTAGAGTCAACTGACTTCAAAAAGCACAATCTTCTCATGACAACCAGCAAGGACAGTGCAGAAGCACCACTGGTTCTGCAGGAAGGCAGACCTGAGCTCAGATTATATTCCTCACTCACTAGTGCTTTATAGATCATTGTGAGTAAATTATCTTGAATCTCATTTCCACTACAAAAACAAACAAAAAACAATTATATCTTACTTCCAAAGTTATTATGAATAAACTGATGTACGTGGATAGCTGTCATTTCTTTCTATAACATCCCTCTAAAGACACGTGCTTTTTTTTTTAACAAATCTAAAAATTTCACTTTATCATCTAAACTGACTTCATATTAACTTATACTATGATTTTTGGGAGGCATATTTTCACATAATTTCACTCAGGAGATCACATATGATTTAAACAAAACTGATAAAAATGCAGGATTGTCTGAGAATATCTCTGAATCAACTGAGCCGTGTAACATACACATGTATGAATTAAAAAATTTGCTTTGGATATTTTTGGGGGAGGGGGAGAACTGTTCTTGGCCAAAACTACATGTAATAAATTCATGAGTAAGGCAGGCTTACTGTCATTACAAGGAGACAGGAAATAAATTGTTTAATGGATAAGGAGTTTGAATTCAGGATGATGAGGAATCTACAGTTGGAAATGCACAATGATATGAATGTATTTAAATGTGAATGTGCATTGTACCACAGGCATTAAATAGTTAAAAAGTATATCACATGTAAACGTTATCAAAATTTTAAACTTTATTTTTGGTGGTAGTGGGACTTGAATTCAGGGCCTCATAGTCACTTAGTTTTTTCCACTCACAGCTGCCACTCTTCCATCAGTACCTAGAATTCAGAAAATAGTTGAACTCGCTCTCTCTCTCTCTCTCTCTCTCTCACACACACACACACACATTTTTTAAAGTGCAGGATCTTGGCACTAGCTAGGCAGGTGCTCTTTGTGACTTGAGGCATGCCCTGTGCCCTTTTTGTTTAGTTATTTTTCAAACAGTGCCTCATGTTTATGCCTGGCAAGCTCGGACTGTGATTTCCTACTTAACCCCATAGATGGGATGACAGGAATGTGTCACCACACTAAGCTTTACTAGATGAGATGGGGCTTGTATACATTTTTGCTTAGGCTAGATGAACAACTTGTACCACTTTGCTTCTTGAGTAAGAAGGATGATAGATACCATTATGCCTAGCCTCAAGATATATTTTGAGATTCTATGTAAGAATATAATGAAAAGAGCTGGTATGTAGCTCAATGGTATAATGTTTGCCTAGTCCTGGGTTTAATCTGCATTATAGGTTTGTTTTTGTTTTTTGTTTTCTTTTTTTTTTTTTAAGTAAGCCGGGTGCCCATGGCACACGCCTGTAATCCTAGCTACTCAGGTGGCTGAGTTCTGAGGATCATGGTTCAAAACCAGCCCAAGCAGGAAAGTCTGTGAGACTCTTATCTCCAATAAACCACCCCAGAAAACTGGAAGTGGCGCTGTGGCTCAAGTGGTAGAGTGCTCACCTTGAGCTGAACTGATGAGTGACAGCGCCCAGGCCCAGAGTTCAAGCCTCTCGACCAACCAAAAAGAAAAGCAAATTGTAACAGGCCCATTAGGCTAGTACACACTAATGAGCAGCTAAATTTCTAGATTCATATACTCTAGATTATTTCTTTTACCTTGAAGTAATTTCTATAGTTTCCTAGGTAGAATGAAGTTTGACATATGGCCTGATTCAGATTAAAGGTCTCTCTTGACAGCTAGCTGTACACCAGAAGTGATGCTGGGAAGTTAACATTAATTTGTATAATTATTTTTCTTAGTATGCTCATATACATATTCTTTTTTTTTTTTTTGGGTCCGGTCGTGGGGCCTGAACTCTGGGCCTGAGCGCTGTCCCTCAGCTCTTCAGCTCAAGGCTAGCACTCTACCACTTGAGCCACAGCGCCACTTCGGCTTTTTTTTTTCTTTTTTGCTTATGTGGTGCTGAGGAATCGAACGCAGGGCCCTAGGCATGCAGGGCAAGCGCTCTACCACTGAACCACCTTCCCAGCCTCTCATATACATATTCTTAATGATGCTCTAAAACTTTTATAGACAGTCACTCCCATGTCCTTTAACATTTTTGTACACAGACATATATGGCAGCACTCCCTACAGCTTTTATCTATCCCTTCTTCCAAAGCTTGTTCTTTTTATGTATTAAGTTAAAATATACAGAAGCTCTGGCTATTTTTTTCCCCCCAGGGGCTTGAACTCTGGGCCTGGGTGCTGTCCCTGAGTATTTCAGCTCATGGCAAGTGCTCTACCACGTGAGCCATAGTGCCACTTCCTGTTTTCTGGTGGTTAATTGGAGATAAGTCTCACAGACTTTCCTGCCCAGGCTGGCTTTGAACCATGATCCTCAGATCTCAGCCTCCTGAGTACCTAGGATTACAGGCGTGAGCCCCTGGTACCTGGCAGAATTTCTGGCTTTATACATCAAGATTTCATGAATTAGAATAAAGGTTTTTTTTAAATGGCCAGATAGTTAATATTCTAGGCATTGTGGGCTATTCAGTTTCTGATGCAAACTACTCAAGTTTTGCTCTTGCCACTCAAAAGCGCTGCAACCTGGGCGCCAATGGCTCACGCCTGTAATCCTAGCTACTCAGGAGGCTGAGCTCTAAGGATCATGGTTCAAAGCCAGCCTGGGCAGGAAAGGCCATGAGACTCTTTTTTTATCTCCAATTATTCACCAACTATTCTCAAATTATTCACTATGGCTCAAGAGTGGTAGAGTGCTCACTTTGAGCTGAAGAGCTCAGGGACAGTGCCCAGGCCCAGAGTTCAAACACAAAAAAAAAAGAAGCAGTGGAGACATTTGTAATAATACCTATTAAAAATAGTTTCACATCCATCTTTATGAAAAGCAAAATGAGTATGTAATTTTCTCATAAAATAGTTGTGCTTTTCCCCCCCCAATTACTTTAAAATAAATAAATCATTCTTGGCTTAATTACTATAACTTAACAGCCATGGGCTTCAGTATGTCAATCTTAATAAAACACTGGGTAATAAAGAGACTTGTAGAAAGAATGATCACAAGAAATACACTTTCATCAAATGTTTAACTATATTATTCCAGGCACTAGGTGTCTCATGCCTGTAATCTCAGCTGCTTAGGAAGCTGAGAACTGAGAATCACAGTTCAAAGTCAGCCAAAAGTCCTTAAGACTCTTATCACCAATAAACTACTAAGAAAAAGCTGGAAGTGGTGCTGTGGCTCAAGTGGTAGAGCATTAGCCTTGAGCAAAAGAAGCTCAGGGATAGAACCTAGGTCCAGAGTTCAAGCCCCAGGACTAGCCAAAAAAAAAAAAAAATTAACTGTATTATTTATCTGATTTTGATGTATTACTTAAGAGTCTTTCCTTCTACAAAGGAATGGACAAATATGTACCAGTGAAATAGTAGTGTGTATGCTTATTTGCTGAAAAGTTAACAGAAAAGCAACTAACTGAAAGTCTCTATTTGAAAGTTTTGAAACTTCTGTTAACTTCTACTTTTAGAGAATATGACTGGAGATATATCCTCCTAAGGCATGACAGAAAAAAATGATCTTAGAAGAAACTGGTGACATGCCAGTTCTTTGTGTAACAGTACAGAGGCTTGAACTCAGGGCCTTACATTCTTGCTTGGTTTTTGCTCAAGGCTAGTGCTCTAATATTTGAGCCACACGTCTACTTCTAGCTTTCTGCTGGTTAAGTGGAGACTAGAGTCTTTTGGATTTTTCTGCCCTGCCTGGATTTAAGATCTGAATCCTCAGATCTCATCCCTCTTAGTACCTGACTCCAGGCAACTTTTTAGTCAGAATCTTCAGAACAATTAGGTCTCCCAAAACATAGTATATGTTACTAAAACACCTAAATAAATAACTTATTAGGTACATACGGAATGTTTGACAGATGCAGAGTAGCTGATGGTGGAAAGATATTCTGGAAGTTTTTAGAACCAGGCTTTTTAAATCGATGCAAAGGACTATTGCTGAAATCCTTAGTCAGACCTTGGTCTTCTTGACCTTCTCGAGGAAGCTGAACTGCTTGGTGTTTGGAGAGTGTAGCACGAAGGACTTTTCCATAAAGTCTCTGACCACTTAAATGGTTCATTGCTATTACATAGGAAGAAAAGAACAAAACTTTTTGAGTACTAAGATAGTCAGTACTAAATTGCCATAAATTATTTTCTCTGAGTTATTTAAAATTATAGCCAGTTTAAGGATTAAAGGGTTTTAAATCTAAAAACTTTTAGGGAAATACACTTAATAACTTCATTTTCATTTTATTATAATGAAAGCAATTTAAACAGAAACAAACCAAACAAATAACTACCTTCCAAGCAGAGCACTAGAAAGTGCCAGAGTACCTGAAACTTAACAAGTACTTAAAAAACTAAACTGAGAATAAATACTAATATTATCTTAAGAAATACTATTTTAATAGCAATATTTTAAGAGCCCCTGTGACAGTGAGGACATGGAATGACATTTCTTGCACCACATCATTAGGAAGCATATCCAGACACCTAGTTTCAAAGGAAAAGAAATAACCATACATAAAATGGGACAAAGTAAGTCATGGTTATTAGTTTAAACAAAAGCCCTACAGTCAAAGCTATAAACATTAACAATATGTTCAGGTACAGAGATAAACCAGATAAAAAGTACTCAATTTTTGTAATATGAAGTATCAATAGGTGCAGAAAAAAGAATGAAGACACTGTAGTAAGAAAACATTCTTGTAAAATTACGTTCCTACTAATTATGTATTTGCTATTTTGAAGAAAAATGTATATATAAAAAGGGCAGGTTATCATTGTCATCATTATAATCATCAGTACCTAGCTGGGCTTGATTTGCATCTGCCATCTGAACCAAGGCATTTTCTTTCTTATTAAACATAATTTTCACTCGATGCACATCACCATATACTCCTGATTAAAACAAAACATAGGGTTAATGCTTGACTGTGTGGTTTAGTTAATTTTACTAACATATTTAAGGGTTTATGTTTTTCATACTATTAATCCCATGGTTATTGCACACATACTTTTCCAAGTTCCAGATCTATTCAAATAGTTTTTCACCCTTCAAATTTATTATATCCAAAGCATTCATCCTCTTACCCCTCCCAAATTCCAGTGTTGGCTAAATATGGATAAACATCACATACATAAAAGCTACATACTATGAAGTTTTAATCTACAGATAAATTTATGGAAGGTTTACACCGTATATAACATTCTCTCTTTTCCATTCAGTATATTACAATATATAGCAGTTTATGTGTTACATGGCATGACTGATGTTATAAAAAAAACTCCTCCAAACAGCAGCATCATTATTATATAATGCAGGGGAAAATAGCTATTTCAAGCCACACAAAAGACAGGTGGTTATCAGTACCTAAAGAAACTTTTAAAGTTTAAAACAAAGCAGGATGCCAGTGGCTCACATTTAAAATTGCAGCTAAGGAGGCTGAGATCCGGGGGATTGAGGTTTGAACTGAGTCTGGACAAGAAAGGCTCCAAAATAAACAGCATAAAGCAGAGCTGGAGGCATGGTTCAAATGGTAGAGTGTCGCAATGAGCAAAAGAACTGAGTGTGAAGCCTGAGTTTCAGCCCCTGTAGTAGTGTGCATGTACACACACATGCAAGCACACATGTACATACACAGGCACACAAAGAAAAAATACAAGTATCTGCTGCCTTCATAAAAAATGACAAATGGCTAAAGTAGATAATAAAATAATAATTAAAGCAGGTGAGTTGTATGCTTATAATTATTCTTCAAAATGTTAAAAAAAAAATCTATCAAGCTGGGCACTGGTGGCTCATACCTGTAGTCCTAGCTACTCAGAAGGCTAGATCTGAGAATCAGGGTTCAAAGCCAGTCTGGACAGGAAAATCTGTGAGACTCCTTATTTCCAATTACTCCCCCAACCCCCACACAAATAAAAAGGTAGAAGTAGGGAGCTATGGCTCAAGTGGTAGAGCCCTATCCTTGAGTAAAAAAGGTCAGGAACAGCACTTAGGCCCCGAGTTCAAGTCCCTAGACCATCACACATACAAACACAGACACAGACACAGATACACACAAACACACACACAATAAAATAGTATTAAAAAAATCTATCTAGCTGAGTGCCAGTGGCTCATGCTTGTAATCCTAGCTACTTAAGAGGCTGAAATCTCAGAATTGCAGCTCAAAGTCAGCCCCTGGGAAGAAAGTCTGTGAGACTTTATCTCCAATTAACTACCAAAAAGTTGAAAGTAGAGCTGTGACAAAAGTGGTAGAGTGCTAGCCTTAACAAAGCTCAGGGACAGAACCTATACCCTGAGTTCAAACCCCAGGACCAAAGAGGCTGGGATTTGAGGGTTTCAGTTTGAAGCCAGCCAGGGCAGAAAAGTCTGTAAGACTCTTATATCCAATTAACTACCAAAAAGCAGGGGTGGATCTGTGGCTCAAGTGGTAAGTCCTAACCTTGAGCAAAAAAAAAAAAAAAAAAAAAAAAGCACAGGGACAGTGCCAGAGCATCAAGTTCAAGCCCCAGGACCAGCACGAAACCATCCCTCCTCCCTCCAAAACCACATTACCCTCCCCTCCCCCGCAAAACACTTCACAGCACACAAACAAACAAACAAACAAAAAAACCCAAACCCTATCATGCCTGTAATCCTCACTTCTCAGAGGCTAAGACAGAAGGATTGTGGTTTGATGCCAAAGCATGCAGGAAAGTCAATGAGATTCTTATCTCCAATTAACCACCAGAAAACTGGAAGTGGTGCTGTGGCTTAAAGTGGTAGAGCAATTGCTTTGAGGAAGAAGTCAGGGACAGTGCCCAGACCCTGAGTTCAAGCCCCACAATTGGTGGAAAAAAACCAAGAACTATCCAAAAACAAACAAACAAACAAAAAATCCTCTATTAAACAGCTGGGTACAGTGAAGTATACCTGTAATCTCAGCTATTGGGAAAGCTAAACAGAAGGAATAGGAGGATCAAAAGCTCAAGACAAGTCTGGGCTACATAATGAGACTATAACTGGAAAAAAAAAAAAAAAAAGGGATGGGGAAGCCAGATGCTGGTAGTTCATGCCTATAATCCTAGCTACTCAAGAGGCTGAAAACTGAGGATCACAGTTCAAAGCAAGCCATGACCGGCAAATCTGAGAAATGTTTACCTCCAATTAGCTACCAAAAGCCAGAAGTAAAGGTGTGGCTTAAGTGGTAGAGTTTTTCATGGAAAAAGGATTTTTCTCATTAATAAAATTCTTTCAAATGTTAAATCTTGCTTATTTCATTGCTCATGTATTTGTATACTTATACCATATATATACTCATTATCTATACATAAATATATAAAGTATAAATATATATATAAGTATAAAATGGATGTAATTTTCTAAATAATTTTATATAAATAGGGGTGTATTTTTAAGTTCTTTTTTTTTCTTTTTTTTTGGGGGGGTCCAGTCGTGGGGCCTGAACTCTGGGCCTGGGTACTGTCCCTCAGCTCTTCAGCTCAAGGCTAGCGCTCTACCACTTGAGCCACAGCACCACTTCCGGCTTTTTTCTTTTTGCTTATGTGGTGCTGAGGAATGGAACCCAGGGCCTCATGCATGCAAGGCAAGTGCTCTACCACTGAGCCACCTTCCCAGAGCCCAAGTTCTTTTTTCTTTAAACTGAGAAGTGAGAATTATTAAAAAGTTGACTTCTTTTTGTTTGAGACAATATCCAACTATGTAACTTGAGTTAGCCTTGAATTTATAATCCTCACTCAGCCTCCCCTAGTGCTGGGATTAAAGACGTGGAGACTATTTTTTTTTATTGTGATTAAGTGATTACATAAACTTCACAAATTTCATAGTACTGTTAGATAGTGATACTTAGTTAATGTCACAAACACATTTAACCTTCATGGGGCAAATTGTCATTATTGTGGTTTATAAAGTTTGTGAATTCTATGAGCTTTGACAATACAGCTATTTCTTCCACATCGAGTGGTATGTACATTTCCCTTTTACTTAGTGTGAACTGTTCCCTCTTGCCCTCCCCCCCATCACTGCCTTTGAGTTATTTAGTTTGTTTTCAGCAATGTCCAGAGCAGTTGATGGGTTCCGCTGTTGTATGTTTTCCTGTTGCCCTCTGTTTCTGTGGTCTCCTCGTTTCCCTCAGATGTGCGCATATATATCATATATATGGTCAGCAGCTTGGGGTCATTTAGTAATGATATGACCAGATAAGAGGAGGTCTTTTGTTTCTTGAGACTATTTTTAAAATCTTGGACTTGGATGTAGTTCAGTGGTGTTTGACTAGCCTTAGGGAGCCTATGAGTTCAACTACCAGCAACAAAACCAGAAAACATGTTGAAAACAAATTTTACAACTTTGGGGTGTAGTTGTAGAGGGGGAAGGGAAGGGGTGGTAGGGGAAAAACAGAGAAGGAGGCAACAATGCTCGATAGGAAATGTACTTATTACCTTGCTCATGTAACTGTAGCCCTTCTGTACATTATTTTTACAATTAAAAATGTACAAAAAAACCCCAAAAACACCAACCAGAATTTCATACATCACTCATTTGCCTAAAACTATTCAATGCCTACCCAGCATGATGGCACATTTCTATAATCTAGCTATTTTTGGGAGATAGAGACAGGAGGGCTGTAGTTCAAGGCCAAACCATACAAGAGTTATCTAGACTCTATCTCAACAACAAGCCTGGGCATCTTGAGGACCTGAGCTCAATGTCCAATACTGTGAACACCAAACCAATTAACCAAAAAACACTGCCCAATGAATTTTCATTGTTCTTAGGCAGAATTCCTTCATGTTCCTTATATATACATATATATATATGTATATATATGTGAATACATATATATGTGTGTGTGTATATATATATATATATATATTCCTTCAGATTCCTTCATATATTGCTTTCTATAAAGCTCCTCATTAACTTGCCCTATTCACATGTTCCACTTCATCATATCTTTTTTTTTTTTTTTCTGGGCTTTTTCTTTTATTTTTATCAGCTGTGAAAAGACATTTATCTTTGGTTTCTGCCCAGCAAATCCGTCTTCATTTTTCACAAGTCACCTTAAATATTGATTTTTTTTTCCCAGCTAGGTAAGACTCCCTGATTTATATTTCCATGAATAACTTTGAAATCCCCAATAATAAAACTTCTATTATATTTACTAAATCTCATTCACTATTTTCCCCAGGTCAAACATGCTACTTGACCTACAGAAATGAACAACAGATACCACTAAATATGCTTAGTTCTTATGTACAGACAACATTCAAAAGAATAAAAATGAACTTACCAAATAGGATAAAAAGCCCATGTGGAGTGATAAGCTGTTTGGAAAAGATAACATACAATGTAAGTGTCTTGACCAAATAATTTTAGACCTTAAGTATATACTGTAATACAATTAATTTTGTTTAAAGCATTGTTTTTATATACTATCTATGCTGGTAATAAAAAAAAAAAAATCACTGAAACAAGCTTATGTACTTCAATTTACATACAACCCTAGATGGAAACCACTATATTTTCTCCTGATAGATGATTTATATGTTAGACTTTTCAACTCACATCAGGATTGAGGTTGGTGACCAGCAGAACAGAATTTCCTGGTATACCACTTGCCCCAGGAATGGGCATCCTCCCAGTGACCGCAGAGGATGTGAGTGTGAGAGGACCCAGGGCTCCAGGAACGGTTGGGACTGACAGGCCTTTTAAAAACATCAAAAGCATTTCAGTCTAGTTATTAAGAAAATGGTAACAGTAACTCAATCAAGAGAAAAAGCAAACATGTAGAAGCAAGCATGTAGTATTCAAGGCTACTGTAAAAATACAAAATATCAAAAAATATCACAGAGGGCCTGGAAGCTGAGTTCTTTATTTGTTGACATTATCACTACTACTTATATTGTACTCTGCAGAATAACTGAACTCACTGATCCCCCAAAAAGAAGCTATTAGGCTTCTCAGATTATATCAATTACAAGCATTCCCCTGTCCTGAAATATAGTCTAGAATCTTTGTACCAATTTTCATATTGCCTTGTGCTGTACAATCAGCTATATTTTTTGAAGTTATTTAAGCTGGAGGTGTGGCTTAAGTGATAAAAATCCTGACTAAAAGTCCTGCAACTGAAGTCATAAATGTGCTAGCTTACACTGTACAATAGTCCATATGGAAAAAATAACCTTATATTGGCTCATGCCTGTAATCCTGACTGGAGATCTGAGAATCACAGTTCAAAGCTAGACTGGCAGGAAAGTCTGTAAGACTCTTATCTCCAATAAACTACTCGGAAAAAGGTGGAAGCTGTGGCTCAAGTGGTAAAGCGCTAGCCTTGAGCATAAAGTAAAGGGACAGAGCTCAGGCCCTGAGTTCAAGCCCTAGGAGAGAGAGACAGACAGAGAGACAAGGAGAGAGGGAGAGGGAGACAGGGAGAAGGAAAGAGAAGAAGAGGGGGAAAGGGAGAAGGAGGAAAGGAGGGAAGTAAGGAAGCAAGGGCGTAAAGAAAGGAAAGAGAAAAATAAAGGAGGAAAAGAAGGAAAGAGAAAGTACTATGTAAACATTAGTATGATCAGTAATAGACTTACAGTGTGCAATATTCTTTTGTGATATTTTCCTATTTTCTGCTCTCCTTGATATTCTCAAACTACTTAAATTTCTAATAAAGGCATAATGTTGACATTTTATGTAAAAAACTACTTTCACCAGAAAGTCCCTCTTGAGGACTTATTTATATCTTGGCTGAAAATTAGTCAAATACATATCTACATATATACTTCTAGTTTATATAAAATGAACCAATTCCTTAATTTTTTCATTTTCTTAATTTCAAAATTTATTATACTTGTATGACAACATATCATGCAACAAAATTTCAATATATTTGATACTCAGCGTATTCTGCTTGACCATCTAAAAAGATTATTCCTATTATCATCAATACTGTTGAATTTTAAAGTGCCCACCACATTCACAGGCTGAATATTGAATACAACCAATACCAAGTCTGTGACTTTTATCTGTAGTTCTGTGATATATTGCTAAGAGTACAGTTTAGTACCACTGTGTGGGGGGGTGTGTGTCCACATGCACGCACATGTATGTGTGATTTACTAGACTTTATTAAGTCAGGAGCTTTCTTTCCTCACTTTTTAATCATTCTTAATATATATTACTGTCATTTCTACATAGTATAGATGTAAAAGAAGTATCTAAAATGAAGGAAAACACATAAACTACTTCAAATATCTACCAATTAAATTCTGGGGAGCTCTTTTGTTTTCAACCAATTATGTAGAATAGCCACTTGAAGATAGGTTACAATGAATTAAAAACCATCCAATAATGACACCTTAAACTAGACTTCTTCGTCATTCTTTCCTTTTTAGTAAACTCTATCTTCTCCATTGGGAAATGGTTAATATTCCCAGAATTATCAGGTTACTATATAAAGATTATTATCAGGAAAAAAAAATAAGGCAAATAACTAAAAGCTAAAAATGTACTTTTTATAAGCAGCTTAACAGCATGTCACCATTTTTTAATTACCATCAAGCATTTCCTTCCTTCCTCCTTTCCCTTCCCTTTCTTTTTTATTTGGGGAGGGAGCTAATAGGGTTTGAACTTGGGCTTTGAGGATGCCAGGCAGGTACTCTACCAGTTGAGCCATGTTCCCAAACCAATTTTTGCTTTAGCTATTTTTCAGATAGAATCTTCTGTTTCTGTCAGAGGCCAGCATCCAGCCTCTACCTCCATCTAATATAACTCCCTTGTAGCTGAGATTATAGGCATGAGCACATGGCTTGGCCCTGAAGTGCTTTCTTTAAAGAGATAAAATCACCAAGTGTTCTTTTTTCCTTTCCTTATGATCAGCTTAAACAATAATTATTACTGAAGTATTAGTCAACTTCCATTTTTCTATTTCCATTAGCTAAAGAGGGAAAAAAATATACTCCAGTATGGTAATCTTATAAACCCTATCACTGGCAAGAGATTTGGAAGAGGCTGAATAGTAAGTATTCATTAAGTCAAATATTTACTGACTATGTAATGTATGCTGAGTGCCACTGAAGATACAAAGATAAAATTCAGGCATGTTCAACATAATATTGTTAAGCCTATTATCAAATGCAGCTCATATACTTTATGTAACAACTTAAGGTTTAATGTGGTAAACCTGTATGTATCTGTGCCAAACGTAAGAACAGGTGACTCAGAACATCTAATAGAATTGCTGGAGTTTGGACTGGAACCAGAGGGAACTATCTGGAAACAGCAGGAAGATGCGCATCAAACAACTGTTTATGGTTGCTGTTACCTAATGCTTTTATTATAAATCAACTCATTCACTTTTCATCTTAGTAAGTGCCTAGAAAACAAAGAATTCCATCTAAAAAAATTGAAGTTCAACTTAAAAAAATTCACCTGCAGCTTGAGGAAATCCAATTGTTGGGGCAAATCCAGCAGCCCCTGCATATGGTGAAGAAATTATACCTGGTGCACCTAGGAAGGAAGAGAAGCCACAATAAATATACTACTTTCTATAAATATGCTTATTAAAACAATATAAAGTGGCTATACAAGATTACAGATAACAATAATAAAACTGTTGTGGAATATATATTTGTTCAAGAGACAATCTTTGATGAGTAAGAGGCTCTGCTACCTCCAGAGGGAGTAAGTCCTTGCATTTGAGTTCAAGGATAAAGAATATGGTTTAGGGCTGGGGCATGGCTCACAGGGTAGAGCATTTGTCTGGCAAGTGCAAGGGAGGGTTCAAATCACAGTAACTCCCAGCATCCCACCCCCAAAAGCATAATTCAGTCAACTAATTGAGTCTGGACAAGGGTCAGATTCTGGCTCTTATTTAGATCATTTTTTTTTCCTATGTAAAAAGTAATTCTAGCTACTCAGGAGGATGAGATCTAAGGATTGTGGTTAGAAGCCAGCCCAGGCAGAAAAGTCCCTGAGCTGTGGCTCAGTGTGGAAGAGTGTTAGTCTTGAGCAAAAGAGCTCAGGGACAGCACCCAGGCCCTAAGTTCAAGCCCCACAACTAACAACAACAACAAAAAAGCCAAGCATAGTATATTTTCACTCATATGTAGAAGCTATCCTAAAACACATACATATCTGTGGATTTGTAGATACATAGATACATTAGATATATACATATATGCATAAAATATGATTATAACTATGGAGCTACTTAGGAAAACGAGATGAAAGGGAAAGGATGAAGGGTAAATAATTCTGAAATATAATGCTGTTGAATGCTACTGGTCAACAGGAGGAACAGAAAGCAATTTTTCTTTGGTTGGTTTTGGTGGGTTTTTTTTGGTTGGAATGGTCCTGGAGCTTGAACTCAGGGCCTAAGCACTGTTTCTGAGCATTTCTGCTTAAAACTAGCACTGTACCACTTTAGCCACAGCTCTACTTTGGCTTTTTGTAGTTAACTGGAGTTAAGAGTCTCTGAGACATCCTGCTCTGGACGGTTTTGAACTGCAATTCTCAGATCTCAGCTTGAAAGGATGACATGTCTGAGCCATCACTATCTGCATATTTTAAGCAAAAGATAATATGTGCATGTCTGTAATGAAACCCCTTGGTGCAACTGATGCCCACTAAAAAGGAATGAAATGACAGGAAAGTAAACAAGTTCTGATGGGGATGACTACCAATGATGGGGGAGACAGAGAGGGTGGATAAGGATGAAAATGGTTGTAGTTTATTTGCACATATGAAAATACAACAATGAAACCTATTGGAATTGCTTTAAGAAGGGGGAGTGAGCCAGGCACTGGTAGCTCACACCTATAATCCTAGCTACTCATAAGGTTGAGATCTGGAGGATCTTTAGCAACTGAAAGCTAGCCTAGGCAAAAAGTCCACAAGATTCTCTCTCCAAAATAAACAGCAAAAACCCAGGCTGGAAATGAGGCTCAAATAGTAGAGCACCAGCTAATAAGCCAGCAGGCCAAATTCATATGAGGCCCTGGAAGGAGTGGGAAGGGTGGAGAAAAAGGAAAAAGAAAAAAAAAACTGGAATAAGAGGAGTGATAGAAGGTGAGAGAGTGACCAGGATACATTATATACATGTGTAGAGATGTCACAATGAAACTCCTCATGTACAATATATGCGTATGATAATAAAAATATCAAAGGGAGGACTTTGGTTTGTTAATAATATGGAAATGGCGTATTTATTGGCATAAGTATATAGGCTCTATTTTACATAGGAGATGAAAGGACATGTAATTTCTGTCTCTCTGTAAAAGGGAATTATTTAATGTAACTTGTTAAATATGTAGCTGTGATTTATTAATAGCTCAACAAAACACTGGCACAAAAAGACTGCACATCTAACACTGGTACAGAGCATTAGCATTAGGAGAAGGTACCCCAAACAGAAAAATTGACAGAAAAACTGATAAAGAAAAATCTACTCAATAAATATACATGTATGTGTATAAATGTACACACATACAATGAAAACATATTATAAGTTAAACATTCTTGTGCTGAAGAATTACTGAAAAAAAAAAGAGATAAAAACTTTAACCCTTAGGAAAAGTGTGGCAGAACACACCTGTCATCTCAGCACAGGTTGAGGCAAGAGGATCTCAACTTCAAGGCCTACATAGCAAGACCCTATTGCAAAAACAAAACCAAAAAAAAACCCAACAACAACATAAATTCTGTTCTCACTAAACTCACCTTATTTTGCTAAAGATCATTGGTAAAGGAAGACTTACTTAACAGTCTTCAAGACTAGAGTACTCACTACACAATCTAGTTCAACAAGGATACAGTAGAGTCTATCTTGTTAGCATTCACCTGTCCCTTTGATGTAACTGGCTAGTCATGTGACCTGAGTTGTTTTTCTAGGAGAAAAGCACACTGTTCTTTGCAAATCACACTGGGCTTGATTGTCACTATTCTAAACAGAATAAATGCAAAAATGAATATGGCACAAAAGCTTCAGGATGTTATTTATTTGTATCAGCTTTCTTATTCTCTATCACAAGAATGCTAAGCGTGACACCTTCAGCCTGAAACCTATACAGAAAAGACATGATGACAGATAACTTGCTAATAGTTGATGATGAGGAATGTGACAAAGAGAAATGCTTAATGGTATAAACTATTGTTTTGGGAGAGAGGAAAATAAAGCAGTTTGTAAATATAGCAAAGTGACTAATACATCCATATGGGGATGGCTATTCAGGCTAGGAGGGGAAGTAGAACATGAGCCAAAGTAGCATGTATGGATGTATTTATTTTAGTTCTGAGTTTGTATGTGTGTGTGAGAGGGAGATTTGCTTGAAAATAACAATCCTTCTGTCTCTACTTTATGAATACTAGAATAAACATGCCAGACAGATTTTAGAGAAAAGAAAACATTCTGAGATAACTAACATAAAACATTTAATAAAACAAAATAATTGCTAAACAAGTACTAAGGCTAAACTTAAAATGACTATTTCCAACTACAATATGATTAACAAGAATATGTTAAAATTTGACAAAACAATCTTTTATAAAGTTTTATCAATCTACATTCCGAAAGGAGCAGACACAAAATCATTTTAGCGAAGTAACCTGTTAGACAATGCCTAGTATATTTTAAGAAGAGTACTCACACTGAATCTCATAACTATGTACAATTATATGTGAAAAAGAATAATTTTAAACCAAATATAGGCTCACACTTGTAATCCTATCTATTCAGAAGGCAAGAAATCTGGAGGATTGCAGTCAAAGGCTACATGCTGCAAAAATGTTCTCAAGCTTCCATCTCAATCAATCAAAAGGCTGGATGTTGGTGACATGTACCTGTTAGTCTAACTACATGGGAAGCATAAATAGGAGGATTACAATCCAGGCCTCCTAAGATAAAGGCCAGACTGTATTCAAGTAAAGAGCTGGGATGTGGCTCAAGTAGCAGAGTACTTGTCTAGCAAAGCCATGAACTCAAAACTCAGTACATTAAAGAAATATTAAGTGTTTTAAAAAGTGGCATTAGATGTCTTTAATTTCTTTGGTACTTTTTTTTTTTTCACATATAGCAGATGAAGTAACACAATCTTACTGTAGAACATGTCCATTATATAAAGATTTAAAAAAAAAACCTAATTGCCTAAAAGTCAACAAGATCATAAAGATCAACCAGAACAAAAATCTTAACCCAGTGAAACTAAGCTTCTCTTTCTTCAATCTCATGAAGCATAAGGCAAGAGACAAATTGTAAATTAGCTCAAGGTAGTTAAGTTAAAAGGACAACTTCAGTATTCATGTTCCTTAGTAATGAGTATGCCTAATTTCTGTATATCCTAGATATTGACTTCTAACTATCACTTCTTACTAACTAGAGAAATAAGTGAGGAGCTAGGTCAGAGGAGTTATAGAAGATGTAGGATGTCTTGAGCCAGAAAGTACTCAAATGATGATGAGAGTATGTCAAAGCCAATGAGAGAGCATGTCAAAAACCACATAAGCCATATAAAAGGTCGCCCATTTTCAAATGGGAAAATTAAGAGCATAAAATGAAAATTGACAGTTAAGAATTATAACCCATAGAATAAAGTAAGAATCTATGAGTCTATACTAAGATATGAGGTCGGTGATGAAAAGAAAAAAAGTGTGCATGTGTACACAGATCACAAACTACTAGATATCCTGAGTGCTGGGTAAGCACTCTACCATAAAGTTATTTCCCCAGGGAGCTTCTATCCCTATTCTTTTAGTGCCACCCTGGCCCACATGGGGACTGAGGACCAAACTAAGGACCTTACAGTTGCTAGGCAAGTCCTCTTCCACTGAGTTAAATCCCCAACCCCCATCCCTATTCTTTTTAAAAAATTATTAAGGTGAGGTAGAGAGGGGTTACTGTTTGATAAGTCAGGTAATTGAGTACATTTCTTTTGGGCAATGTTACCCCTTCCTTTGAGCTCTCCCACTTTTTCCTTCTACTCTCATGAACAAGTTGTATACTTCATTTTGAACACAGTGTAGTATTACCACTGCTGTATTTGTGCCTCCATTTCTGTGCCCGCTGGACCACCATATCTATACTTTTAAAGTATTGCTATATTGCCCAAGCAGGCTCGGAACTTATGATCCTCTTGTTTCAACATCCCAAGTAGCTTATATTACCATACCCAGTAAAAAAAGTTTTATTATGCCAGCTAGTAAATGTACAAGAAACAGTTACCAAATTAACCATGGCAAGCAAGCATCACAAGTATTTGGCAATGGATGTAAACACTAGAAGGTGAAAAGAGATAAAGAATTGGATATTTGTACACTTTTAACCTACATATACTTAAAAGGGAAGAACAGTAATTTTACAGGGAAGATGTCTAGCAGAGTCTACCTTTAACAAGTCATCAAGAGTTAATACTACCAGAAATAGTAAAACCTGACATTGAGTATCTCAAATAATGGACTGAGAAAGGTATTGTTTCAGTGACACTTTTTTGCCAAAAAATAGAAACTCTGAGGGCTGTGGCTCAGTGGTAGAGTGCTTGCTTAGCATACATGAAGCCCTGGGTTCAATTCCTCAGCACTATATAAACAGAAAAAGCTGGAAGTGGCGCTGTGGGCTCAAGTGGTAGAGTGCTAGCCTTGAGAAAAAGAAGCTCAGGATCAGAGACCAGGCCTTGAGTTCACAAGCCCCAAGACTGGCAAAAAAAAAAAAACAGAGAGAGAGAGAAAGAAAGAAAGAGAGAGAGAGAGAAAGAAAGAGAGAGAGACAGAGATACTCTGATATGAAAATATGAGATTCCTGCCAGAGGATGTGGCTTACACCTATAATCCTAGCCACTTAAAAGGTAGCGATTAAAAGGACTGCTATTCAAGGACAGCCCAGGAAAGACTCCAATCTTAACCATTAACATGCTGGGCACGGTGTTTATGCTTGCCCTGGGCATGGTGTTTATACCTGCCATTGCCTATAGTTAGTGTAAATAGGAGGATTGTGGTCCAGACCAGCTTGAACATAAATGTGAGAATCTAATAAAAAATAAAGCAATGAAGGCTAGGGCCATGGCTCAAGTGGCACAGCAATTTCCTGGCAAATAAAAGTTCACCTCCAATATTGCCCCCCTCCAAAGAAAAAAAAATTTAAATGACATAACTGCACTGAAGGAAACACAAATTCTCCCTGAACTCTTTTTTTTTTTGGTCGTGGGATTTGAACTCTGGGCCTGGGTACTGTTCCTGAGCTCTTCAGTGCAAGGCACTAGTGCTCTACCACTTGAGCCACAGTGCCATTTCCAATTTTCTGGTGGTTAATTGGAGATAAGAATCTCATGGACTTTCTTGCCCAGGCTGGCTTTGAACCATGATCCTCAGATCTGGGCCTCCTGAGTAGCTAGGATTACAGGGGTGAGCCACCAGGGCCCAGCCTTCTTGAACTCTTCAAAAATGCAAATCATAAAACACTAAAAAGGTGGAAATGTTCCATCTGTATGTGAAGACTCTAGCAATACACAATAAATTAGTCTTTTACTAAAATAAATCTATCATGTTCACAAATGGAATTTTTTCCTGAAATGTTAGTGTTATATACTAAAAAAAATGTTAGCATAAATTGTCAGAGGGGTTTCATCCTGATTACAACTTGCATGTAGTGTACTTTAATCAAATTCACTTTTTATGTTACCATTTCTTAACCATTCTCTGTGTGCCCCTCCTTTTAAGTTTTTTACAATTGGTAAATTTCTTAAAATGTCTGTAAAATGGTAATAGTATTGTACAGATGTGAATTTTCCCATTAGGATTACTATACTGTGTTTAAGTCTGAATATGTTTGTTCTTTGTCAACACATGACTAAGTAAAGGGCACTATATCTGTAACTTATTCTCAAATGTTCTGAGATAAGGGAAATAAATCACAACACAAATGTCTACCAATAATAAAATACATAGATAATAATATACATTTGACTGAACTGAGAATGAAGAAGCCACAGCCCCAGTCAGTCACAAATACCTAATGAAAGATGTCACAAAAGAAAGAATATGGGGCTAGGAATTTGGCTTAGGGGTAGAGTGCTTGTCTAGTATGCATGAAGCCCTGGGTTTGATTCCTCAGTACCAGTAAAAAGAAAGCCAGAAGTGGGTTGTGGCTCAAATGGTAGAGAGCTAGCCTTGAGCACAGAGAGGCTCAGGGACAGAACATAGGCCCTGAGTTCAAGCTCCAGGACCAGCGACCCCCATCCCCCCAAAAAAGTATGATGCTAGTTTGTAAAGATCTCAATATGGGGTGGGGGAGGGGGGCGGCAGAGTTTAGGACTATGTAAATGGATTTTCTTAAAAGGCAAAACAGGAAAAAAAAAAAAGAAAGAAAGAAAATGCCAGGCACTGATGGCTTATGCCTATAATCCTAGTTACTCAGGAGGTTGAGAGCTAAGGATTGTGGTTCAAAGCCAGCCAGGGTAGGAAAGTCCATGAGACTCTTATCTCCAATTAACCACCAGAAAATCGGAAGTAGCACTGTGGCTCAAGTGGTAGAGCACTAGTACTGAGCTGAAAAGCTCAGAGACAGCTCCCAGGACCAGAGTTCAAGTCCCACAACACACACATACACCAAGAAAAAAAGGAAAGAAAGAAAGAAACAAAGAAAGAAAGAAATAATCAAATCTGTGGTTGTAGCTATCTTGGGGCAAGGAGAACAAGAAAATAATCCATGAGGGAAGTACAAGAAGTGCTTCCTTAATATGAATATTTTATTTATCAATCTAAGTGGTAGTGATACAATTATATACAATATATTTACCACTCAGAAGTATTCTATAGGCATAAAACATATTACCGAAAATAGGGACAGAATTCTTGACTCAGAATTAAAACTTCAGAACTACTGTTAATGAAGAAAGAGTAGTCAGTGACATATGAAGAGAGTAGAGTATGATATTTCAGAAGGCAGGAGTAACAAGGAGGGGTAATCCTAGCTACTCAGGAGGCTGAGATCTGAGGATCACGGTTCAAAGTCAGCCCGGCCAGGAAAGTCCATGAGACTCTTATCTCCAATAAACCACCAGAAAATCAGAAGTGGTGCTGTGGCTCAAGCAGTAGAGCACTGGCCTTGGGCTGAAGAGCACAGGGACAGTGCCCAAGCCCAGAGTTCAAACCCCACGAATGACCCCCCCAAAAAAAGTAACAAGGAGGGGAAGGGTAAACTGTATCAAACATTAGGAAGAGGTACATTAGAATAAAAACTACTTTATTACGTTTTGGTGCTGGTCCTGGGGCTTGAACTCAGGCATTGGGCACTGTCCCTGGGATTTTTTTGCTCAAAGCTAGCATTGTATCACTTGAGCTACTTTCCTAGTGGGGCTGGCTTTGAACCTTGATCCTCAGATATCAGCCTTGTGAATTGCTAGGATTACAGGTATGAGTCACTGGCACCCAGCAGAAGAAACTTTCATACAATATGTAAAATATTTTTCTCTGATGAATTATTAATCTTAGGATGCAGACACTAGTTTGTAATGGTGAAGAATTTGTTAATAACATAATAAAAAGATGCGAACATCTGTTATTTTATATTCAGAAACCAAAATTCAACCAGGTGCTGTAGCTTACATCTGTAATCATAACTACCAAGAAAGGTGAGATCCAGAAGAAACTGTGTTGAGGCTAGTCCAGACAAAACATTCAAGAGACTCCACTGCAATCAATAGCTGTCAATAGCTATATGCTGGGATATGCCTATTATGCCAGCTGCAAAGGAGACTGATCAGGAGACCCAGGCCAGACTGGGCAAAAAAAGTCTCCAAGACCCCGTCTCAGCAGGAAAAAAGCTAGGTAGGGTGGCAAAAAGTATTAGTACGAAGATTATGGTTCAAGCTACATTATAAAAAATAACCAGAGCAAAAAGGGTTGGAGGAGTGGTTCAAGCAGCAGAGCACTTGCCTAGCAAGCATGAAGCCTTGAGTCTAAGCACCAGAAAAAAAAAAAGGATGTATGTGCAGACTTGAGTATAATGCCAATAGTACAGTATATGCCAAGTAAGTACAACTCCTTAATTCAAACCTCACTCTTACCTCTTCCTCCCAAAAAGGCAGTGCCAGTGGTATACACCTGGAAATCCTAGCTATTCAGGAGCCTGAGACTGCGAATCATAGTTTGAAGCCAGCCTGGGCAGACAAACCCTCAAGTCTCTTATTTCCAATTACTCAGCAAAAAGGCAGAAATGGAAGTATGGTTCAAGTGGTAGAGCACAAGCCACGAGCAATAAAAGCCAAGTTCAGGAACAAAGTCCAGAGTTCAAGTGCCAGTACCAGCACACATACACTAAATATAAATAAATACACATATATGTATATGTGTATTTATTTAGCTTTTGGAATAAATTGTGCATTTGATGGCTAAATTTGGGCAAATTTGAATTTGCTCCAATGTCTATAATTCGTTATACAAATGGTAATGACAAAATCATTTGGCTGGTCCTACAATTCAGGTAAATAAATATTGAAATATTAAAAAAGCTTTTAGAGTTCCAAACAATTTTCAGAAAAATTTGGAAAACCAATTCATTATCTTATACTTCTTTAATTTTCTTAGCCATAAAGGACTAAATACTACTTAGTAAGCAATATTTTACTGTGTTATTTCAGAATTGAAAAGAAACACCGAAGGGTATTAATATTTAATACTTTATCCAAATAATAAGCTACACTTTTGAAAGCTTGAAACAAAAAAGTTGCACATATTAACCTAATGATAGATCCAGACTGGGTCATCATTGCTGTTTCCTTTATATAAAAGCTTGCCTTATTCACTCACTTTCTAAACAAGTGCTCTACCATTTGAACCACATTACTAGTCCTTATTTTTGTTTAGTTTTTTAAGATAGTGTTTAGCTTTTGCCCAAGTGGCCCTGGACCACGGTCCAACCACCTCTGCCTCCCAAATAGTTGATGTTACAAGTATGCTAGTACACACTTGTATAATTCTATACTGTTAATTTAGGCCACTGACTTTAAACTTCACTATTTAAAAACTAAGACATTTTTCAAGAGAATTGTATTGACTACAAGTAAACATATTTAAGTCAAGATTAATAGTTAAGATGATTAAATTGACCCAAGTAGTTATGTAGCCTATGAGTAATATGAATATATTGTGTAAGAAAATAAATTTGAAATTCAATTTCAGATATTTATGTGACCTGTCAACTAACTTCTTAATATTATGGGCACATTTTGTTCCATGATTCTTATTCTCCTTTACAAATTCTGAGACATTCAAAAGGGGCTCACGTAAGATTAATAAGATATATAATTCTGGAAAACTTGCTTTGTGATTGAAAAAGGAACTACTCACCAAAAGCAGCAGCCATAGGAGGTTCAAGAGATGGCTGACCATCACCAGTAGGAAGGTCTAAGCGAGTGAAGTCTCTGCTTTTATCATTATTATATTTCACATTAAGGCTGGTGAGCTTGGAGAAGTCAATACGCAGAGTGCAGCATGCATTATAGATATTCTGGCCATCCAGCGCCTAAAGCATGTGAGAAAGGAATTGATGTTTGGCAAGATAACACTAATAAATCAAGTGGCAATTAGGTATAAAGCTAGGGAGCACTAGACTAAAAGCCAAAGATTGAGATTTATTTTTACATCTATCACTGACCCTACGAATCTATGTAAGAAAAGAAAAAGCTTTTAAATCAGTTTATGTATAAAATAAAAAACATCTATTTTACCTGTGCCAGGATCAAATGAGGGAAGAAATGAAAAAGCTCAGAAAATTACTATATAGTATTACAGAAACACTAACTACTATTGTGGTTATTTTGTCTATGACGAATGTTTATAGGCAGGTAGAGGAAAGAGTAAATATTAAAGCTATATTCTGGAGAACCAGAAGCCTATCTTTGAGCAGAAGTTAGAATTGATACAGAGATCAATATAAGATGGAATGAGTACATATCTCAAGATTAAATGTGTCATAAAAAAAGTTTTGTACTTATCAAAAGGCCAACTATTTGTATGTTAAAAAAGACAATATAAAGCAGGGTTCTAGTAGCTCATGCCACTAGCTATTCAGAAGGGTAAGATCTCAGGATCAAGGTTTGAAGCCAGCCAGGGCAGAAATGTTAGTAAGACTCATTTAACCACCAAAAACCTGAAAGCAGAGATGGGGTTCAATTGGTAGAGCACTAGATGGGAGAAAACAAACAAAAAACAACAGCAAGAGACTCTGAGTTTCTGAGTTCAAGCTACAGTTCTGTCACAAAAAATAAATTAAAAACAAAACAAGAGAAGATTTAATATCACCAATTTAGAGCTCAATGGAATAAAGACTGAGTATGATCAATTTCTGGCTAAATACAACATTAGTAAATAAAAAGATAATCTACTTTGTCAGATTACATCAGGAGTAATGGTGCTTGACTTATAAACAGTAGTAAGTCTTGGAGATCTAAGAGGTGATAGATTTGGAAATATTTCCTATGAAGAAAGTAATAGTTTTTACTTTAGGAAAAAAGAACATAGGGAACCGTACAGTTCAAAATAGTTAAACTGTTAAGCAATGTTTAAAATAAAATGATAGTAAACTGTAGCAAGACAGAAGACTTAATGGCATCATCCTTCATGTATCACAAGGTAAGTGATTAACCAGTGAAAATTTTAAAAAAATATATAATTACCATTTTGGCATAATGTGCATTCACTGGGTCAGCATACTGAAGCAAGGCTTGAAACTGATTATTCTTTGTAAAGGTGATAATCTTCAAAACTGTGCCAAATTTAGAAAATATCTGGAAAGAAATTCATAGTAGGTTAAATCTGGAAATATTAAACTGATATTATTTTTATAAATAACTTGAGTATGCATTCCATTTTCTTTTTTTTGAGAGTCTTGAAGGTTCTTAAGGTCTTGACTTGAGGTCTTCTTGCCTCAGTCTCTCAAGTCCTAGAATTATCTGTGTGTGGGCTCCATTTTTTTGTACATTTTTTATTGTAAAAATACTGTGCAGAGGGGTTAGTTACATGAGCAAGGTAATGAGTACATTTCCTATCAAGCATTGTTGCCTCTTCCTCTGTTTCCCCCCCTACCATCCCTTCCCTCCCACTTCCACAACTACACCCCACCCCCAAAGTTGTATAGGCTACATTTTTTTTTTTTTTTTTTTGGTCAGCCATGGGGCTTGAACTCTGGGCCTGGGCGATGTCCCTCAGCTCTTCAGCTCAAGGCGAGCGCTCTACCACTTGAGCTACAGCGCCACTTCTGGTTTTCTGGTGGTTTATTGGAGATAGGAGTCTCACGGTCTCTCCTGCCCGGGCTGGCTTTGAACCGCGATCCTCAGATCTCAGCCTCCTAAGTAGCTAGGATTATAGGCGTGAGCCACCAGTGCCTGGCTTAGGCTCCATTTTTTAAATGAAGCAATCTTCTCTGTTAAAACTATCGGTGCTAAAATGATTTAAAGTCTAAAATGTTAATGTTTCAAAGGTCATTCAGCATGTACTGTTACAGGACCTGACACAAGAAAGGACTCAAACTTATCCTGCTTTATACAAGTATAAATGGTACAATACTATAATAGGAGGCTACTGAGGGAATTGATAGTGTAAGATAATGGTGTTACAAAGCACATAATTGGATGTGGGAGAACCAAATGGTGTAACTATTTCATTCTGTGAATTAGCTCTACTTCCAGATAGTTTTTATAAGACAAACAACAGGGTAAGTAGAATAATATGTTCAAACAGAGCACTATTCAACAAATATTCACAGGACTCTGTTCTGAGCACTAGGAAATCAGCAGTGAACAAAACAAAACTCTCTACCTTTATGAAAAAAAAGTAAATAAGCAATATCCTATCTGGTCATATAAAAGTTCTATGATAAAAATAAAAGAGTAAGATTGACCTGGAATGCAAGTGAGAATAGTACAAAAGTGATCAAGGAAGGACTTTTTGAAATGTCTTCTGATAAGAATCAGAGAAAAATCTTCCTGGCATAGCCCTAGTTAACTTTGTTAAACTTTGTTCCACAAAAACTCAGAACTGGGTTGGTAGTATCTCATTCTGAAAGACTAGGTAGCATTCTGAAAACAGTAATACATTGTTTTCCTCTGTTATTGTATTTTGATTTGGATATTAATATGCTAGAAACTTGACCTTCTGCTAAGAATTAAAGATTAGGAATTTCCAATGCTGATAAGATATATGCCAATGTCTCTAAGGCAATTGATCTTCCTTTTTAAACAAGTAGAAAGAATACTCACGTTAACTATCCTAAAACACAGGCAACAACAACAACAAAAAAAAACCAGTCTACCTCAAAATCTTGTGCAACAAAAGACAGCTGTCAACAGAGTAAAAAGGCAACCCACAAAATGGGGTATAAAATGTGCAACTTACATGTCTGAAAAGGCCATGGTGTTAAAAAATATTAACAAGAGTGTTAGGTAGGGAGGATAAAGAGAAAGAACGTGCATCTGTATTTAAGGTTCAGTCCCCAAGGTTCCTAAGAGTTTCCCCTTTGGTATGAGTTGGTTTTAATCTAATAGCCTTGAAGAGAGCTAAACAGGGAGAGCTAAAAGAACGAGAATCCTACTATAATAATTGCTACTGAGGAGTCTCATAATTAGTCTTCATTACCTAACAGACTCCATGATCTTTTGTGAGAGAAAATAAGGTACAGTTGCTGCTTGGGGGAAAGGATAAACAGAGTAAGACATGATTATGTGACATGGAATAAGCTCATCACATTTTTGTTGGGTAGTAACACTGTTGAGCAATAGGTATAAGAACATCTTTTATGAAAGGCAAATGCATCACAGTACAGATGGCAGTAATACCACTTTGTGAAATGAACAGAGTAAAGTGTCAGTTATAACTCAAGTTTTCTGATTTAAAGTCTCATGCTTTGGTTTTGAAGAATGTAAATAAATGTTGGATCCCTGTAGAGAGCAAACATGGCTGTGAACATCATTCCTTTCTTATTTTTTTTTTTCTTTGGTTGATTGTGGGGCTTGAACCCAAGAGTCTGGGTGTTCTCCCTGAGTGGATTTTGCTCAAGACTAGTGCTCTACCATCTTGAGCCATGTCACCACTCCCAATTTTCTGGTGGTTATAACTGGAGAAAATTTTCTCATGGACTTTCTTGCCTGGCTGGCTTTGAACCGTGATTCTCAGATCTCAGCCTCCTGAGTAGCTAGGATTAGAGGCGTGAGCCACCAGCACAGGGCTTTTCTTTTTTGCAGGGTGGTGGAGGAAAGAAAGACGCTATGCTTTTTTTTTTTTTTTCAATAGGGCTATTTCCGATTATAAGTTAGCTTGACGGCCTTTAAGATGTTCTTGATGGTTCTTTATATTTAAAGGTTTATTATTTTGTACAAATGTCTGTATCTGAATCCTTTTATCTAAATTCAGAGATTAGTATCTTTTATTCAGTACATGTGACATACAGATAATATATTAAATTCATATATCCTAATTAGTGGAAGGTTTAATCAATTAAAAAATAACCCAAAACAGAATACAAATATTGGATGGATTTTGTTTTTTGATCCAATATGGTATTCTTCTTTTTACTGGAGAATTTAATCCATTAATGGTTGGAGTTATTAAAGAGAGATGTTATTTTCTTGATTTTCTATATTTTGTTTTTTCCCTCTTCCTGTGTTTACTAAATTGACCTTCTAATGATTTTTGTCTGTGTTTCTTTGATTTTGACTGTCTTCAGATTGTATTCCTCCCTTTAGAATTCTCTCCACACAAACCCTTGATGAAGGAGAGCCTGGAATGGTATAATCTAAGCACTGAAGATCAACAATTGCCAACCCAAACTGATCTACTCAGCAAAGTTATTTACGTTAGATGGTAAAACCAAAACCTTTCATGACAAGCAAAAATTAAAGGAATTCATGATAACTAGACAAGCATTACAACGAATTCTAAAGTGACATCATTCTTAAAGTCCTTCCTAGGACATGTTTCACAAATATACTTATTTTGAAAATGGTATTTGAGCTCATGCCTGTAATCTGGTACTCAGGAGAAATCAGATCTGAGGATCCTGGGTTTGAAGTCAATCTGAAGAGACAAACCTGAGAGACTCTTTAACTCCAATTAACCAGTAAAAAGCTGGTTGGCTGGTATGGCTCAAGAGGTAGAGCATCAGCCTTGAGGAATAAAGCTATGCAAGAGTGTGAGGTCCTGAGTTCATGCTCTGGTACCAACACAAACAAAAAAAGGTATTTGAAAATTATTAAAAAGAACAAAGTAGGTCTACTAACTAGTATAACTTGTGTAGCATATGTGGCACAGGATCATATTAGGAAATGTGTCTGAGTAGTCACATCAATTGGTATAATGATTACGAAAAAATAAATAAACTTCTGAGGCAAGGGTGGGGGAACCTCCAGGCTCATTTGGTATGTGACTAGACAGCCACAAAGACTTCTAAGTATGCTTCGCATCCATTGCTTGTGGCGGCTGTCTATACTGGTAATTTTGTATGGTCTTAAATGAAATGAAGTTGTAAATATCCAAATGGTCCTTGACAAAAAAAAGGTTCCCTAGCCCTGCAGGGAACAAGCAAAATGCACGAAGAGAGTAAGATGCTTTTCAATTCTAAAGCACAAATGCACATACAGCCCTATAGCTCTTCAGTTATACAAATAAATCCAAAGGTATGAAAATAAGCTTAAAGTATGTTCCAATGTTTTAGAACTTTACCATATGGGATGATAAGTATAATGAAATGCAATCAATAGATTCCAAAAGAGTAAAAATACTAAAGCTGTGGAGCTAGATGTCAAATATTATATAGTATTATGTAGAGTACAATGCACATTACATCGAGGATATTGTATATGAAGTATTAGTTTAAAATATAACAAAAGCATTAAAAAATGTAAGACTCTATAACCAAGAGGCTTAAGTTTGTTTTTTTTTTAATTTGGAGGTAGGGGTAGGGGGGGAGAAGATTGGGGGGGGGGGGGGGGGGGTTGCTGTCAATTAAGTCCAGGCTGGCATTCAACGCAATTCCTCTGACCATAAACTACCTCAATGCTGAGAATTACAGGTGTGCATCATCAAATCAAACTTTTCTCTTTCTGAGGAACAGTGCTGAAGCTTGAACACAGGATTTCATGCTTGGTAGGCAGGTACTCTTAGAGCTGAGCCATGTGTCTGGCCCTTTTATGAACTGTTTATCTGGAGAAAGGGTCTCACATTTGTTCAGGTACACACTTGGATCATGATCTATCTGTTCTATGGTTCCTTAGCTTCTTCCACCATGATGGTATCTCATAAACTTTCTTGTCTAGGGCTGGTCCTGAACTTCACAATCCTGATCTCAGCCTCATGAGAAGATAGGACATACACATACACTATCACATACAGCTGCACACTAGAATTCTGAGATTCAAACTGTCTCTTTATTCTCTACAACAGTCAATACTTACCAATGATATATGACTTTCTGTATTCTTACTATTATTATTTACTACAAAAATTATGTAAGTAATCTTCCATTCATAAATTCTAAATATTACCCATGATTTGATGGAATATTATCAATGTCAGTTATCAAGACAATTTAGACATTTTAATAGGTAATATATGAAGATTATGTTGGGTATTAGTTACTATTTAACATGACACATATATTAATGTTACATATGAAGTTTTATATATCTCCCCTTAAGGTCTTTGTGAGTGTATGTGTGTGTGTGTCAGTCCTGGGGTTTGAACTCAGAGTCTGGGCACTGTCCCTGAGCTTTTTGCTCAAGGCTAGTGCTCTACCACTTGAGCCACAGTTCCACTTCTATCTTTTTGGTGGGTAATCAGAGATAAGAGTCTTCTGGACTTTCTTGCCTGGGCTGGCTTCAAATCTTGATCCTCAGATCTCAGCCTTCTGTGTAGTTATAATTACAGGCATGAACGACCAGTGCATGGCTTTTTTGGGTACATGCTGGTCCTGGGACTTGAAGTCAGAGCCTGGGCTGTCCCTAAGCTTTTTTGCTCACTTGAGCTACGCATCCACTGGAAGTGGTTCCAGCTTTCTGGTGGTTGATTGGGAGTAAGAGACTCACAGATTTTTCCTCTGCCTGTGCTGGTTTAAAACAGTGTCCTCAGATCTCAGCCTCCTGAGTAGTTAGGATTACAAGGCATGAGCCACTGGCATCCAGCAATATTTTAAATTTTTTATTGTCTTTAAGGGTAATTCAACATTTCAATTTGTAAGTACAATGCATTTCGATCAATGTCACCTTTTTCTTGTTCTCCTCCATCTCTCTTGGGGCTTTTAAAATCATGTACTCATCTTAGAAAAAAGAGGCTGTCAAAAATTATCTTTAGGGTGGGGATGGGAGGGTAAAACAGAAAAGAGAGAGAAGGAAGGGATGACACTGTCCAAAAAGAAATGTACTCTTTACCTGACTTATTAACTGTAATCCTTTGTACATCACCTTTATAACAACAAAAACTTAAATTAAACAATTAACTGGTATGAGTTCTTTGTAAAATAATATGGTAAAGGTTTTTTTGTTTTGTTTTTTGCCACTCCTGGCACTTGAACTAAGTGCCTGAGCACTGTCCCTGATCATCTGTTGCTAAGACAGGACTGTACCACTTGCACCACAGTGTCACTTCCAGCTTATTCTGTTTATGGGCTTCATGCATGCAAGGCAAACACTCTACTCCTAAGCCACATTCCCAACCTAGTAAAGGTTTTTTCACTATTTAAGCATATATCATCCAATAACAATAACCTAAAGAAGATAAATATGAAAATATTACAGAAAGCCTGGCGCCAGTGACTCATGCCTGCAATCCTAGATACTCAGGTGATCTGAGGATCTCAATTTGAAGCCAGTCTGGGCAGGAAAGTTCATGGGATTCATAATCCCAATTAATCATCAGAAAACTGGAAGTGGTGTTATGGCTCAAAATGGTAGAGTACTAAGCTTGAGCAAAAGAGCTCAGGGACAGCGCATAGGCCTTAAGTTCAAGCCCCATGACTGACACAAAAAAATTTACAAAGGTTACAGGGGATTATGATTTTGTAAGAGTATTTCTCCTGGGCTGGGAAGGTGGCTCAGTGGTAGAGTGCTTGCCTTGCATGCATGAGGCTCTGGGTTCGATTCCTCAGCACCACATAAGCAAAAGAAAAAAAGCCGGAAGTGGTGCTGTGGCTCCAGTGGTAGAGCGCTAGCCTTGAACTGAAGAGCTGAGGGACAACGCCCAGGCCCAGAGTTCAGGCCCCACGACCAGAACCCGCCCCCCCCCCCCCCAAAAAAAGAGTATTTCTCCTATTTCAAAAAATAAAAGTAAAAACTAAAGGGGTTATACAAAAGTGAATAAGGAGTATTTCTTCTTACCTGATGAAGAACTTCTAGAGTAACGGGATAAAAGAGGTTTTCAATAATTATTCGGAGCACAGGGCTCTGCCCAGAGAGGACTGTGCCTTCATTGGAAGTAGCTCCTGGAAGGGCCAGGTTTCCTGACTGAATAGCACTCACAGCCTGCAGTGCAGCTTGGGTTCTCTGGAAAACAAGTAAAAATCAGAGCTTTTGATTATACAGAAGCATTATATGAATCCTAAATATCAGCTGGCCAAAAAAAAAAATGAAGTAATAAAATCAAACATATACACAATACCCCCATAGTATTACTTGATCCCAAGTTTGTAATTCGTTAAGAATTAAAAACCTACCTATTTATTAGCAATTTATGGTATTAAAGAAAGTTACTTAGCCAAGTACGGTGGTATACCCCTGTAATCCCAGCACTCAGGAGGCTGTAGCAGGTTTTTTATGAATTCAAGGCCAGCCTGAGCTACATAGAGATTGTCTCCAAAAAAGGAAAAAGATAACAAGTGGAAAAACATGTAAGGAATGTTAAACATCATATAAAAATCATTCAAATCCATCTTTATTCATTCTCTTCCTTTCCTTTCTTGAACAATTTAGTTCTTAAAGCCTTTGGGTGACATAAATACAGAAGAGGAGAGAACTGTGCTGGTTCAGTGGGAAAATGAGGGCCTTTACATAGATAGCCATAATGGCATGGAGCATCAGCACCTGACCAAGGTTGAAAGGAAGAACCTATGGTCTGGTTAAGGGAATCTGAGCCAAAGAAAGAAGTTATTTGGGTGTGTGTTGGGGGAGGGAATTCGTTATATATCAGAAACTAAGGAGCATGAGTAAGCAGGGCATTCAGTGGAAGGGGAGCCAAGAATATCAGAGCCCAAAGAGTAGGAGTAGTCCACATGCCTAAGTAGACAGTGTGATGAGACAGAGCAAGCAGCACAAAGAAAGAAGACCCATGGAGGTGAGGGGGAGCAAGAGTCTGAACACACAACATCATTCAATGAAGGGATAGCCTGACAAGAAATGCTAGTTTTCAACCAATCGTGTGCAGACAAAGCATCTAAGCATCTCTCCCCTAAAAGTAACAAGAGCACTCTAAAACAAAACAAAACAAAACAAAAAAGTTGGTTCCAGAATTGGGGCAGGAAAAGCCCAAGATGATTATGAAATAGTTTTATTGTGTTTTCCTTATTTTTGTCAGAACACAAAGAAATAGTCAAAGAATAATGGCAAAAGAATACAGAAACCAACTTGAAGGAACTTCCGTAGTCAAATTCAGAAGTTTATGTACCAAAATAATCCATGAAATAAAACAGGAAACTCTAAATTAATACTGATTAAAATTGGCAGTTGGTTAAGGAACAGTTTATTTATAAAAATCTCAAATCTTGCCCATGTAATTGTAACTCCTCTGTACAGTATTGTCACAATAAAAAAAAAAAATCTCAAAATATGTGCCCAAAAAGTACTATTTATTCCCCCTTTTAAGTATAGATGACTCCTCTCTCTCTCTCTTTACACACATACACACACACACACAATCTGTGAAAAACATATGTAGTCATGGTCTAAAAAATTCCCATCTATAATGAAAATGTAGGGTTTTTTTTCTTCTCATTATTCCCTGAGCAATATAGTCTATACAAGGTAACTGAAGCATCCTTAGATTTTGGTTTTGTGGTGTTTCTGGAACCACCAACTCCTTCCCTGACTCTCCGTAGACACTGAGGGACAACATAATAATTCCAAAAGCCTAGCTAAACATTAGCATAATTGAGTTATCTAAGAACACATCATCAGTAACAAAACAACATGAAATTATATGCTGCTATCATGAGAAGAAACGACTACTGTGATAGATACCCTGAACTGAATCCTCAAATTGAGAGACAATAGAAAATAAATTGCTTGTACTTTTTAGCAATGCCAAAGACAGGAAAGTCAAAGAAAAATGGAGGAACTGTCTTAAACTAAAAACTGTAAAAGATATGACAACTAGATGGAACATGTGAATCGGAACTGGATCCTTTGTTATGAACAAACATTACTGGGACAACTGGTGAAGAGTATGGTGGCTAAGGAGTACAGAAGTGATGCATCAATGTTAACTTTTTAATGTTGACTTCTATTGCAGTTGATGGGAAATATCCTTGTTTGTACAAAAATAGGTATTAAAAACTTCGTTGTGAAGTCATAAAACTATTTCTTTAACTTTGTGACTGCTTAAGTTATTTAAAAGGTGCAGTAAGTGAAAGAGTTAAAATTGAAGTATAATCATTGATTACTGAAACTACATGCATCATTGTTATCAATCTTTCATTCCACACAGCATCTCTTAAGATGATATTTTGCAAAATATTGGTGCAATAAAATGAAAAATTATTGAACTTCAAATTATCTTTCATTTTTACATAATGTATATAGTTGCAATTTTAAAGAGCATAGTATCCTGTATACTATGATTCTAGTGTGAAATTTTTTCTCTTATTTTGCTGTGATAAATATTAAGGTAAGTACTTTCCTGAAAATTGGAAGCTTTTTATTTGCTGTATGCTTATTTAAAAAATTGTCTTTTACACTTATGTACCACTCCCCTTTCCCTTTTTAAAGCACCTTATTAAGATGTTTCTCACAAATCAGAAGAAAATCTAAATTACTTAGAAGGTAAACAGAGTTTGAGGCTAGTTCAGGCAAAGTTGGCATGACCCTGTCTCAAAAAAAAAGTTAAAAAGTAAAAAAGCTTGGATGCAGCTCAAGTAGGAGGGCAAGTACAAGGCCCTGGATACAATTCTCAGTACCATAAGCAAACAAACACACAAACAAAGCAATTTTAAAAAAACCATACAGGGCATTTGCGTGTAAATTTGTGTTAGTTTTCTGCAGATGCTGGCTGATTTTCTCTGTACTATTCCAATTTTGGTATATGTGCTGCTAAAGTGAGCATCATCCTTTTTAAAAGACCTTGCATGCAAACATTTTAACTACTTTTATGTCATATGCAGATTCTTATGTATAACTCACAAATTGCCAAATGTACAGTTCCCCAAGTAGCAGTATCTTCAAGAATATATAAAATAAGCTGGGTGGGTGCAAGTGGCTCACACCTGTAATCCTAGCTACTCAAGGAGGCTGAGATCTGAGGATCTCACCAGCAAAGTCTGTGACTCTTATCTCCAATTAACCACCCCAAAGTGCAAAGTAGAGCTGTGGCTCAAGTGGTAGAGCATTTGCCTTGAACAAAAAAGCTCAGGGACAGCACCCAGACAAGAGTTCAATCCTCAGGACTGCCTCAAAAAACAATATATGAACAATTATCTCAATATTTTATATCACTATTTCTCAAATCTATGCTCTTGACCTGGCATGATGTCCATACCCTCTAATCTAGCTAATTGGGAGGTGGTGATCTGGAAGGACAGCAGTTCAAGCTAGCTCAGGGAAAAGTTAGCAAGACTCCATCTCAACAAACAAGCTAGTGGTACCTATGTGTAATCCCATTATGAGGGAAATACAAGTATAATGATGGTCCCAAGTTAGCTCCCATTTCACACGCACGCAGGCGTGCACACGTGCGCGCGTGCACACACACGTATAGTATCTCAAGTGGAAGCACACCTACCTAGCCAGTGCAAGGCTCTAGGTTCAAACCCTTAAAAAAAGCAAATATGCGTGTGTGTGTGTGTGCTTTATGAAGCCAAATATGTAGGATAATGAACAGTTAGTCTTGCCTGTAAACATGGAAGTGTATCTTATTTACATTATTCTGGATGTCCCTGTAAGATTTTATTGGAAAACAGGGTATTGTTTTGCTAAAGTTTGAGAACTAATTTAGACTTTAGTTTTCAGTACAAAATTGACAGGGGGGGTAGGGGGGATTGAAGTAGAGAAAGAAATTCATCAACCAAAAAAGATCAAAGCCAGTGGCTCATGTCTGTAACCCTAGCTATACCAGTGATACTGAGTATCACAGTTCAAAGCCACACCAGGCAAAAAAGTCCGTGAGACACTTATCTCCAATTAACCACCCCCAAACTGGAAATGGAGCTGGTTCAAAGTGGTAGAGTGCTAGACCTGAGCACAAAGGCTTAGGGACAGTGCCCATACCCTGAGTTCAAGCCCTATGACTGACCAAAATAAGTAAATAAAATTAAAAAAAGATGATCCAGAAATGACACAGGGGTTAGAATTAACAAAGACATGAAGTCATTTATTCTAACTATATTGCACATAACCCGAAAGTGAAAACATGTAAGACATTAAACAGTACTCTCTGTGATAACAGAAATGTTTAGCTGTCTCCATTGTCTAATATGAGTGCTAGTAGTCACAATAACTAGTAAGCACTTAAGTTTGGTCACTGCAACTAAGGAGCTAATTTTTTTTCCTTAGTCATTTACCCTCACCGAGCCAAGTTTGGTTAATTCTTGTGCTTTTTCTACTTGGAAATGAGTATGGCTGGGATTGACGCCTGTAATTCCAAGATCACACAGGGTCTTATTCTTCTGGTGGTGGCCTTCTGCTGTTTAAATTCTGGATTAACCCTGGCAGGCAGAAATATACTCAACTGAGGAATAGGGCTTGGTGCACTAATTTTGTTGTTAAGTCATCCTTAAGTGGTTTAGCTTCTTTTGCTTTCAAATTACTCCTGGCAGTAAAAATTCCAGTGTTTTGGCTGTGGGGATTTATATACATTTTTAGTATATATGGGAAGCTTGCCTTTTAGAAGGAATTAGCCCTAGCATGTGGGACTCCAATGGATTGGTCTGCTACTTAAGGGGGACTAACAGTTTGATTTGTGGTCTTGGTGTTCTCAGTGACCTCTACTTCAGTGTCCTTAGCTCTTGAATTAGTTCCAGCAGCCTGGTGTCAACAGCTGTAGCCTCAGTTAATTGGGGGTTCTTAGTTCCTTGCATGCTCTTGCTGAGCAAGATGGACTCGCCTTGGTTTGAATCTCCTACTGCCAAAGTACCTTTGGCAGCCTGCGGACTAGTAGTTCTTTACTTTTTGCAGGCTTTGAGGCTTTTTACTTTATGAGGCTTTGTATAAAATACTGGTGGGAGAGGCAGCCTTGCACCATTTAAAATCCTTGACTACATTCATACCTAGCAGCCAAGGGTTGGTGGTTGGGTTCTCTGCTCTTCTGGAGCTCAAGTCAAACTTTAACCTCTTAGTGA